TTAAGGTTCTCATTAGATATATGTCGGCAGTCGTTTACGTGTTATTTATGGAACATTACATTGGATTCAATGACTCTCATTAGCAATATGTCAGCAGTCGTTCCCGTGCCATTCATAGAACCTCGGACTAGTAATACTAGTCTGAGACAGAACGTTTCACTTGATTTTAAGGCTCTCATTAGCAATATGTCAGCAGTCGTTCCCGTGCCATTCATAGAACCTCGGACTAGTAATACTAGTCTGAGACAGAACGTTTCACTTGATTTTAAGGCTCTCATTAGCGATATGTCAGCAGTCGTTCCCGTGCCATTCATAGAACCTCGGACTAGTAATACTAGTCTGAGACAGAACGTTTCACTTGATTTTAAGGCTCTCATTAGCAATATGTCAGCAGTCGTTCCCGTGCCATTCATAGAACCTTGGACTAGTAATACTAGTCTGAGACAGAACGTTTCACTTGATTTTAAGGCTCTCATTAGATATATGCCACTAGTCGTTTCCGTGCCATTTATAAAACGTTACATTGGATTCAATGACTCTCATCAGCGATATGTCACTATTCGTTTCCGTGTCTTTCGGGGAACGTTACATTTGATTAAATGATTCTTAAGAGCAGCATATCAGTCCTATTTAAAAACTTCCATTGATCAACGAATCTCATTAGCGATAAGTCATTAGTCGTTTCAAATCTATTTATTTGGACTGTGGACTTTTTTTCGAACCTTTAGTGTAGTGTGGTGTGGTGTGGTGTGGTGTGGTGTGTGGTGTGGTGTGGTGTGGTGTGTAGAGTATAGCCAAGCCATTCAAAGTGAAATAATCACGTTGCCCGGTGATTATCAAAAGCGAGAGATTGGAGAGGCGGCCTGCCATATGAATTCAATTTTGCTGTAATCAAATGTGATATTCCGACACAAGAAATTGTACATTTCATGTGAATAGCGTTGGTGGGAATATGTGCACATTTTGATGTGACTGTCAAAGCAGACCCTCTATCTAGGCAATCATGGAGTAAACGTGCTCGTCATGGGAAATACACACCGCATTCGAATCACGTGACGTCTTAGTATCGCGGTCGCTATAATTGGGGTCAACGACATCTAATAAATGTTCATTTCACGTTTGTATTTACATATTTACACACACAAAAGTTATTCCCAGTAGAAACATTTTACTAATTACTTGTTTGATTTGCATATATCAGATTCTATATCGCTTGTCGCCATCTGCTCGTTCATTTGCATACAACCCAAGCTCTTTGGGATCGACCATCAGTCACAGAATAAAATGAGCACGTTCCCACTAGAAATAGGTTTTTAGGAGTAATACTGTAATTTTGTCCTGCCAGAATACTACAGTAGTATTGAAAGTACTTACATTTTTAATAACAAGACATAAGACATAAATTATATAATGTCGTAATATCACGAGAACAAGTCGGCATGTCAGCAATAAATTATATCGTAAAATAGGCTCATTAATCATCCTCCTATCATGTGACGAATCACGTGATACGTTGAGTTATCGGTACCACCTTAAATGATGCAATGGACTAGTAGAGAATTAGAAAAGAGAACTTATATATTATCTCTTGTTCAGTTTGGTGATATTATATTAGAGGTGATTAATCTGAAAGATATTTTCTTGTCAAGTTTGCAGCATATCGTTACAATATTGTGCACTCATGTCAATGGAACTAAGTTTATTTGGTGGAGAAAAAATTGTGTAGTACGTCTCATGCATGGAATGTTTGTGAAAGTGTGATACGAAAAAGCGAAAAGTCATAAATTACCTACGTTATATGGGATTTGGATCTTAAAATGATTTTATACTTGTGTAAATATTTTTGGAATAATTATATGAAACATGCACGATCTTGTAAGTAAAAAAAAATCATAATTATGGTTAATTATTATGCATATAGTGAATTTTCAAACAATTGGTGACTGCATTAAGTTTGTTTTCCCACAAATCTTATTTGGTTATTTAAAATTGTACCGTCCAACTCATCTATTTATTATTTTCGTTGAGACGATCTCACATTTCATTAATTACAGGTTCATGGAAGTGTGTGAGTTTCAGTTTGGAGTTGTGTTTTGTGGTTCCAGGCAGGCAGGTTCCAACGTAGAGGGCGTACCTTTTCTCCTGGTTATCATGTTTCCCCATAGTCGTGGTCTTTTCTCGCCCTGGTATATTGTTCTACTAATGAAGGAAAAGGACACCATGCGTCAATTTGACGTGGTTTAAAACAATCTGTCCTGTCCATGGTCGAACTTGTTGAGATCTTCCTTTATAATAATGGGAAAATTGTTCAGTCCGTTTTAAAGTGCTAAAATAATTTTAGGAAGTCAGAACGTTCATGTCCATTTGTTGGCGCATACACATTTGCTTGGTGGATCGGAGCGCCATCAACGTTAACATGCACATATAAAAGCCAGACATAAGCAGCGTTATTAAAGCCTAATAAAGATAGATACATGCCTTAGCCCTATAAGTTAGTTACCGGTAGATTTGGGAAATTTTACCATACTGTGGCCGTACTAACATTTACGACTATTTCCACAATTACAGCACCGCATCGAATTTGAAATAATCATCAAAATGTGATTTTCAAATTCAAATTTCATCACATTTGCTAGGCAGCTTGCATTGCCGATACGTTTATATAAGACACATTTTTCTCATCTTTGTCTGAATTGCCACTTATGTACTTGTTCGTTGAGGAAGAATGGACCATAATGAAGACATAATATCGCATAGGATTGAGTTAGATGCAAAATGTGTCCTTTCTGGCGTAGCTGGTCACCGTGATCGTCACCGGCGCTCGTTTGTACACTAGTACTGTCGCTGGACCCCATCACTGAACAACATTCGAGTTGGTAAGAAGTTAGAAAGAACTACAACGGAATTGGTCAGGACTGCACAATTACTTACATAGTAGTAAGTCGAAGTGTCGATTTCTATTTCCACGGTACTCTAAAAAGTCAAATCATTTGAAACACTTACCCAACGTCTCTCTCTCTCTTCTGAAATCCTCCTCAGTGAACATGGGCTGGTCCAGAATCTATTTCTTTAAAAAAACTCTCTCTCGTGGCTACATCAGTATAAATATCTCAAATTTACTTGGAGGCAAGTAATCATTTTTAACAACAAAAATCAATAACTGTTCATTTCAGTGAGACACAGATCTAAACTGAAAACGTGTGGGTGGGAATTTCACAGGCATTTTAAAACTTTAGCAAAATATGAAGCATGTGCAGTGTCACATTATTACATTACATTTATGTGATCTAACGCGTAAACACAATTCATAACCATAGAACTCTTGTACGTTTAGCCATATATTTGGCTATGAATTTAGAATATGAAAAAGCCAAGAGAAAATTACAAATAAAACATATGTGTCACCCTTTGTGTCAAAAATAAACGGTGACTTTTCAAATAAGGTTCCAGTAAATCAAATAATTAACATTTATTTGATTCGTGCAAAAAAAATGGTTTTCGTTCGATCAGTCAGTTTTTGGGTGAATTTCAAGAGTGTCCTATATATAAACATAGAAAACACTCGCGTTACGCCAACATAAAAACGCGCCCTATATTGGTGTATAGCGTATAGCAACGCGTTGCGCCAGAGACTGGACACATAACAAGACACGCTGGGATGACGTCAGCAATGTATCTACATTAAGACATCTATATTTTCTTAAATTGCATTAAGTAAAATCGCAACGCCAGCGCAGCGGTGTTTGCATGGAAGAACGGGACGGGTGTCCTCTCTACAACTTACCATGCTGGCTCTTCAGATGATATGTAGTTTCTTACAAGAAATACAAGCCCCTTAGGTTGCGATATTGATTTTCAGAAAATCTCTAACAGCTGGTACCTTTTCACAGAGTCACAACATTCCATTGACATTCCATCTAAAAGCTGACAAATTAGCTATCACAACACAAAAACATACACAATGTTATTAATTATACAGTAGCTCAGAATATTATGTAATACACATCACAAATAACAATAATAACGAGCTATGGTTACTTTGTGTCGTTTTATCGAACTATTGTAATTTAAATTTGATTTGTGCTAACCAGCCTGATAACTACGTGTTATTTTTTTTTATTGAATGGTCACGTGTTTTCAGAGAAGTGTGAGCTGTCTGTTTGCGCTCTCCGAAAAAGTTGAATATTCTTCGTTACTTATGAGTATTACTTGACTATCCGGACTTTATAAACAGTGATACTTTAAGTAGCATCGATCGGTGTTAGAATTGTGACATGGAGAGCCATTATTGGTTTGTTTACCCAATCTAAAAGTTGGAAAGCAGTTTTGCTTAGTGACGGTTATACACCATAATTACGTGTTATTAATTGATTAGGATAAGTTTGATTCTTGTTATTAATTGTTGGTAATTTTTAGTCGATTCATCGTGTTATGTTAAAGCGGGG